TCCAGGCGTGCCCCTAATTTCCGCACCGGTGCTGTCTGGGGTAGTGGAACCCTGTCAAGAACCAAAGATGACAAAGTCCTAGATCTTGAGGCTCCCCGTATCCACAGCCACTCCGTCTTACCAGGATTCAGCTGAAGCCTGTTGTCCCCCATCCAGGCCCCCACAGCCTCCAGGCACCGCGAAAGGGCAGTCACAGCATCACTTAAGGCACCTGGGATGGAGATGTATAGTTGGGTATCATCAGCATACTGATGATACAGTATACAGCATACCCAATATGCTACTTCTGAAGATTCCTAGGAGATTAAATAAGCAAGTTGAGTAGTCACTGCTATATATTGTCTCGATTGTGTCCCTGTGCTGCCTTTCTCCCATTGCTTCTGGCTTGTTAACACTACAGAAGGAAACTGATAGCATTGGAATCCCATTTCTAATCTTATATAAAAGAGTAGGGAAATGGTTACCCATAGGAAAGGACAGGAGGAAGTCTTATTTTTCAGGGCCAATTAAAAATATATTAAAATAAGACTTGTGAGGCTGCTGACTTAACGGTGCCCTTGACTTCTGAATAAAATGAGTCACCATTGTAGGGGGACACTTCCTGTGGTGGTCTGAAAGTTTGTGTGTGGCGGCCAAATCCATCTAAAGACTGCTGCCAAATTGTAATTTTTCATGTGAAAGAAAAGAGAATGTATAACATCCAAAGAGAGAAAGTACTTTTAATGAAATTATGATTAAGTCTGATCAGATTTAACTTTGACCTGAGTATCTTGATTTTCTTGGCCTAGTCAACCTTTTGAGGTATGGCTATATTATCTGTGTTATTCTATTGGCAATTTTTGTATTGGATTATGTATTTGGGTCTTTGACTATACATAAAGATATGTATATTGATAGTTTAAGTATGAAAAGCCAATCTTGTAGTGAAAGGAACAATGTTTTTCATTTTTCCATGACAAGGTTCATCTGCAAATAAAACACTGTCTCCAAGTGGCCAAGTGGGAAACAAAATCCAGAGTTCTTCTCCAGCTCATAAAAACTTAATGAAAGCGAGTCCACAAATAGGGTAAGTACACCCTTAAAACATGTGTGCCAATGGGGTTCACAGGATGAGGTGCAGCACTGGCCATTTCTAGAACTATAGTTGACCTGCTTTCTCACTTCCATTGAAATCCGATAATAACATAAGCAAATCCCAACCAGTTTGCATTTCTTGATGAGAATATTAGAGGAAATGGAATGTTGAGCATTTCTATCAATGAATTATAGACATTTGTTAAATGATAGTCATGCCATTTAAGTGGCAGGGAGAATTCTGGAATCAAAAGTAACTCAGGGTATGGCTCATGAGCCCATATGGTTGCCTTAACAGCATTTGCCATACCTCAAAATATTTATGTTTTTATTTATATATCAAATTTGTCACTGCCCATCTCATTAAAATGACTCTAGGCAGTTTACAAAGCGGTTAAAATCAATTAAAATTACAATATAAAATAATCCTAAATAAATAGAAAATAAATATAATCCAAGGGTAGATGTTAAAATTGGCAGTAATTCAGGGAGTGTCATCAAGGCACCAGCCACCCCCAGGACTGGGTAAAATTCTTGTCGCCCCAAGCAAGCTGGTCTTTAATCCTTTCTGGAAAGCCAGGAGGGTAGGGGCCTGCTGCACATTTGGGGGGAGAATATTCCAGAGGGCAGGGATAATGGCAGAGAAGGCTCTCCTCCTGATTTGATTTGATATGATTTGAAGCTGGTTTTGAGTTAGAGACAAAGATTTGAGTAAATCTTAGCCTTACAAAGGTCTCCTATTCCCATTCCATTCTTAAGCTCTCTCCCTCAGGGCCAAACAGTTTTGGCCACACCACTTCTAGTGATATCATCATGTCACTAGATGGCCTCCTTCAGAACATGAGGAAGCTGAGTTGTAGCCCTTGACCTCTTAGGAATTGTATCACCTCTGAAGTAAATAGAAGGTATTTATTTGTTGAGTTATCTGTACTCTGCTGCATTTCTGTTCTGCAGAACCTGCTTTCTGCTTTTGTTTTCATTACCGTGAAAATAAAGTTAATTTTTGAGTCTTCATCAGACCGTGGCCATCAAAATGTCTATAAATATACCTCTGTTAACTGTATCTCAAGAAACAGCGGTTCCCAGCGGCTTTATTAGGTTCTAAATGGATTTTAAAAATGAATAATTTGTAAATGATTTTCTGTTGAATATTTACAGTATTTGGATTTCCTTGTTAATGCCTTTAAGTTACAAGTGATTTTCATTACAAGTTGGATGAAAAGAGTTAAGAGATTTGATTGCTTGAATCATTTGGCACCATCTATTTTTTAGGCACCTTTGGCATGCCTTAGGAGTGATTGCATTTTGAATTACTTCTAACTTCTGCTTGTAGCATTCCATAATATAGCTTGTGCAAGTTTTCAGCAAGATGTGATAACATTTTTCAGGGCAAGAGAAAAACCTCCATTTATGAATATTGTGAGGAATAGGCAGAGGAGAGAGCCCAGGCCTACCCACTTTTTCAGCTTGCAGCCCCAGAGGTCCCACTTATAAAACAAGTGCAGCTATCATCTAAAAAAGATTGGGCTCAGATATGTTTCTTGGCTCTGCTTGCTAACCATGCTAGTATCTTTTTTAATGCTTTCTTATCTGTGGTGATATTATAGTTTTGAAGTTTTGAATAATCCTAAAGTGCTCTAGAAATTTTGAGCCTCTTGATTATTCCCGTTTCTTTTTCCAATTGGGGGTGTTTTTCTCCTTTGAGATGAAACATTTGATTGTGTTCAGTCATTGGATCATAAAGAAGTTATAAGTATGCTAAAGAGTAAAATATTTTGTCCATATCCTCTAGATGGCAACATGTAGCTTCTGCATGAGAAATAGATAATATTATCAAAAACAGGAAATTTAAGAGATGAAATTCTGAACTTATAAAAAACAGACAATAATTTGAAGTTGATGAGAGTTTGGGAAAATCCAGAATGTTCTGTTTTGTTGTAAATAGTTGAGTGAGACAGATAGTGCTATAGCACTGAGCTTTTAATGTTCAGTAATACTTGTTCAATCTCCATAGCCAATCTCAAACTTTGTGTTTTGTCCCAGTGTTTCTTGAATAATTTGGTAATTGATATTTTTATTCTACAGCCCAAACACCTGGTAAGCAGAGAACATTATTTGTATTAAATAATAGAAAAGTATGATTATGCATTTTTGAAAAGCATTAACTGAGCAATTTCATTGCAGTGATACAAAATGACAAAGCCAGAAAAAGTGGATAGTGATTCTGCAAATTTCCTTTAGAAAACTCATGCATTTATAGCAGCAGCAGTGACTGCTTCTTGAACTTCATCTATCAATTCGTGCTAGATACCCTCCATTTTGTAACTGTAATTATAAACTCTTGATTTAATGGACCTTGGTTTAACAGATTTCAGATTTAATGGACAAGATCTGCTGAACAGGGATATGTATGCTGGGACATCAGCTGCAGCTGAGAGAAGGCAAAAGGAGGGAAGAAAGGGAAGAATAGAAAGAATGGGGTAGGCAGGACAGTGTCATATGCTGTGCTGGAATATCCACAGCAGCTATATATTGGCAGACACTGGGAAGATCATAGGAGTAATTAGGTGGACCAGTGGGATATGCTATGCCAGAACCTGATGCAGAAAAGTGAATGCAGCCTGATCAAGCCTTACCATACTTGTTAGGTTTAGGAAAAACCCTCAAGTTAATGGATGTTTGGTTTTAATCAACACCCCATCCCCATTAATTTATTAAATTGAGGGTTTGCCCATATATATTCACTCTGGCAATCCACTTCCCCACCCTGTTCTGCTTTCTTCTTTGTATTGTAAAGCACAGAGAAGCTATCCCACTAGCAGTCCTCTTCAGAAGGCTGGAGACCTAGTTGCATTTTGTAAGTTGAGAGTTGTTCCAACTGTAATGTTTTCTCCTTTCAAATTCTGCATCATTTACTTAATAATACTGTCTTTTAAGGGGATCCATGAAACCACGGATGGGAGCACCTACTAATATGACACGAAGCACCGGTCCGGGTATGATGGCAAACAAAAGAAAAGCATTTGGTACTGAAACCTATTCAAACAGGTAAATTATATTTGAACCCTTGGACTTTAATCAAGAATAAGTAATTGGCAGATGAAAGAAGGGGATAAAAGTGAAGATGCAGAGAAAGGCATAAAGGGAACAGTTTTTGCTTCTTTAAAAAATTCAGTGAAATTGAAATGTTTCTCAATGAAATGGTAATCCTGGCTGTCCAAGTAAGAAATTATAATCTGATCCACAGCTGTGGGACTTGACTTAAACTAGTAGCTTTTAGTTCTATTTTGGTAAGTCTTTCATTATTCTTTTCTCGTCACAGCTCCAGAGCCTTATTTAAATTAAAACCATTCACATTCCTAATGGTCAAACTAGATATGTCACAGAAGAATTGGGATTATATTGTAGAGTTTTTCCCCCAGGCGATTTTATTTTAAAAAGCAACAAAGTAGGTTTGGGGAAAGTCCTTCTTTAAATTCTAGAGGTGGCAGACTAAACCAGATGTCTATCTATTTCGTACTGCCCCTTCAACATATATACCAACATAAGGGAGAAAAATATACTCTGCTGATAATTATTAACTGTTCCCTGAACATAACTTTCCTAATTTTCAGAGCAACCCAGCTAGCAATATTCAAAATGTAAGGGATCCTAACACCATTTCATGTTTTCTTTGGTCCTTGGTCTCCATTTTATATGTGAATTTGTCACCATTCTTAGTAAGACATAAACGCTTACAGGTAAATTCAGTTCAGTTTGTTGGTGCAATGTTTTCTATTGAAAATATGTAACATTTAATGTTTAGTCCATGTGTTAGTAGAATTCAGAAAAAGTTTATTTTGGGGAGGTTGCTTACTTGGGTTAAAAATCCCATATATTCTTTCTTTATTATTGAAAACTTACTGTGCAGAAAAGAAAGAATATTTTATAGATCACTGAAATAAGTATTCTTTTAGCTAATCTTTGTTATGTTTATTATTTTGAATTTTTAATGCTTGACATAGAGCTAGATACGACAGTGGAGACTGTTCATCTTCTGTCAATGGAGGAAATTCAAAAAGCAGTGAGGGAAATTCTCCTGGACAGTTACCAAAATTCTGTTACGAATGTGGTACCAAATATCCAATTGAATCTGCAAAATTCTGCTGTGAATGTGGAGTTCGAAGAATGATTTTGTGAATACACCTATAATGCAGAATGAAAGATAGCTTTCTTGCTAAGGCTGTATGAAAACTTGTGCTACACTTTCCCATCGGGACTTGCGCTAATATTATGGGGCAATTATTTTTGGTTGTGAAGTAATATATATATATAGATATATAAATACACTGTATATAAATGGTAAGATACCTAAAACTGTGCCATTAAAGATGGTTTTCTTGAGATATTGTTGGAGAATATTTAATGGAGCAAAACTCAAGTACTAAGGATTTTCATAATATATATTTTAATTTTCTTATTGTTCATTTATAGCTTTAGCCCTGAATTATTTGGTCTAAAGAACGTGTTCCAGTAGAAAATCTGTTATACATAGAAATATTGGTTGATATTCTTATAAGTTAGGGTATAGCTTGTTGGATGACACTGTCATAAATTTTATTAACATTTGTAATAAGTTTAATGCAAATTGAAATGATTAGTTTCTTCAAGTGTATCATTATTATAGTTAATTAATTGGCGTTTTTCTCTCTTTCTCCTTCCAAAAGGCTTTAAAATGATTTTATGCAGATATTTCTCTATGTGGAAGACTTCTCATGTGTTTCATGCAAAAAGATTGAGTTGCTAATAAATTAATTAAATTATCGCATATAATTTAATCATGTTCTTAGGATCCCAACAACTTCTTTTCCTTAAAAAAACAAGGTTGTGATCAGAGTTTTAAAAGTTTGGCCAATATGGCCGAAGTTAATTCCCCTCCTGATTGTAACGTACCACCACCACCAAGAAAAATCATTGAATATTTTATAATTATGGCACAAATGAGTTTCAGAAAAATGATACCCCAATCATGATTTTTCCTCTTCTTACTCTTTTGACTTGTCTTTACCATTATTTCTTACACAGTCCTCCAAAACTAAAACAAAAAAAATTAGATTACCTTAAACTCAGACTACATTAGTATTAAATTGATTTTTTTTAGTAATAGCCTCTTTTTCTACAGCAACTGTTTTTTACCAGGAGATGAATCCTGTAACATATAGTTAGGCTTTTCAAAACATTAATCTGGTCTTTTTGTTTAATACTGCTATTTCTAAGTCTCTAACATTTTAGGTTTAGTAACAATTGAAGTGAAACACAGGACAGTTTGCAGTTTTTGACCTGACCATGTAGGATTGTTGCTTTATTTTTAAATGCTATCTTCATTCTATTCAAAACCTACCTACTATGATGGATGGCAATTAAAATTGTATTTGAGCAAGATCTGTCTCCATTTTCCAGTATATTGGCCAATGGCAAATTGCAGTTTTTGAACTATAATAATTAACAGGTTAACTGATATAGAATTGTATTTGTAGATTTTAGATTTTTCTTTAAGAAGCATTCATAAGTGTAGTACTCCAATTTTGTACTGTTACCTAATTTATGTGTATTAGTGAAAATCAATCTTTAGTATCTTACTGTAGTTTGACATTTTTGTTTTTGTTTTAAGACACACTGGTATGGTGGGGCTTACATTAAAAAAATTCTGAATGCACTGCAGCTCTGCCTTGGTCTATTGAGACTATGTGGATACTGCTCTGCTTTGCTTATTAACTATTAATGTAATATGCATCCTCATTCACCAAAGAACCCACATATTTGTTATATAAAAGTTTTCACATATTCCTGCAGGTGCTTTATTACATCTTCTTATTGCATCTGTTTGACATGTTTAATATAATGAATCTGGTTTTCGTAACAAAGCAATAGTCTGATTTCTACTAAATAGTTATGTGAGCATTATTCTATTAGTTATGTTTTGTTTTCCTACATGTTCTTCTGTAAATGCTGGTTCTATGTTACCAAGACTTTGTTAATAAAGCTTTTATTGCATACATAATCTTTGCCTCTCCATTGCTAGGAAAAGCTAATGGTAAATAGAGATATTAAGTGAGATTTCCTAAAAAATGAAAATACTAAAACATAACTGTAAATCTATAGAAATCTTAGGAATAGAAGTAAGGAAAGGTGTCCAAGGAAGAGTATGCAGAAAAAACTCAGATTGTAGGGATGGTATTGGGAAATATTAAGCTTAGAATGAACTGAGTACTGAAAAGAACAAAAAAGGGCTTCTGGGTGAGGTGTAAAGGCCAGTTACAGTGGGGCAAAAAAGTATTTAGTTAGCCACCAATTGTGCAAGTTCTCCCACTTAAAAAGATG